TAGTTCCCAAAGCCCAAACATCAATAGTTCTGGAATAGTTTTTATCTTATAAACTTTCAGGAGCCATATAGTATGGGGTTCCTATGTTTAGAGTCTAACTTCCAAGATCTTATTGACTTTTAGAAATACCAAAATCAATTAATTTAATAATTAATTTTTATTCCTAATCATGGCAACATACAAAATTTTCTGGTTTTAAATCTCTATGAAAATAACCAAAATTATGAAATTCCTAAACTGCTTAGATCATCTAAAATAGTTTTATTATATACTTGGAGAAATAATTCATTTTTTTCTTGGATATCAAAATTATTGAATTTATTTGTATTCATAAATTCATAAAAATCCATTTCTGCCAATTCCATTACAATATAAATTAAATTATTCAATTTTTCAATTGCATCTACTCTTATAATGTATTTAGGTTTATTTTTCTAAATAATTTATAATATAGTTTCCTCAATAGGATTTAATTCTTTAACTACTTTTACAGCCACCCTTTGATTTGTGTTTTTTATAAAACCTTAATACACACTACCTTAAGACCCAGATCCTTTTCTGAGTTCAACTATTATTGTCATTTTATTTTGTTCAAGATATATCTAATTTATCTAATTCTATTATTGTAACTATTAATTCATTATTAATAATAATTTAATAATTATTTTAATATTAAGTGAAGTTAAAAACAGTCTTTAGAGGAACTAGCAATATAAATATTTTTATACATTCCTTTATTTCTAAAAGTATTTAATTGATTCACAGTTGTATCATACTCTATTATGATAGGATATATTTTATTATAAAAAATTTAATAAATATTTTGGCTTACTTTAATTCATTGGAAACATTTTTAAACTAATGTTATAAGCTTTAAAAATTTTTAGAAGCAGTATTTTAAATTTTTGATATGATTTTAACGATATCAAAAAAGATAGAGATATTAATTTAATTAGTAAACTAAATTGCTTTATTTTTTATTTACTTTATTCTATTGGAATTTAATTAAAAAATTCAATAATTTTCTATTTGTTAATCTCTCTATTTAGCGTTATAGCACCAAAATTATAATTGTATAAAATTAGATAAATTGATTTTTTGATAGTCAGACTTAAAAACACTTATTTTGGGATATCTTTTAATAATATTAGATTAAAAATATTCAATTTCCCTTTTATATGATAAGCAGTAAAGTTGATTTTTATAAAAATCTAATAAATATATTAATCTTTTAACATTAAAGCGAAAATTTGTATTGCATTTTGTTAGAAATAAATGATAAAATTTATGAAAAAGAAATATTTCAATTAAACTAGAAATAATCAAAAAATTTAATATTTAAAGTAAAGATGAAGTTTTGAAATGATACAAATATATCATAAATTTTATATTAATTAAGAAAGATTTTTAATTTATTAAATTACTTTAGAACTTAATTGTATTATAAAAATTTCAATATGTATTTATTTTGATAACATTATCCTCAATCAACTTTAATCCAATAAATTAAGAAAATTCTAATGAGTCAAAACATATTTGAACAAAATGTTGTACTTGTTTTTAATCTTTAATTAATGATCTTAACTTTACTAAATTACTTTATTGAATTGTGTTGAATTTTTCTGAGATTTATCTATCCAATTTTTTTTCATCTTCAATAAAATTTGATATATCGTGAAAATAATTTTTAAAATTCTACAATTAATCAATATATTTTTCTAATAGCTAATTTGTTTCAATTTAATTATCTTATTGTATTGTTGTTAAATCAATTTTTTTATCCAATTTTTGAATTTCGATTTAGTATTTTTCAACAGCTTCTTTGTTACTTTGTTATAATTAATTTTATTTTTTTAACTCTTAGATTTATTGTGATAATTTTATTTTACTTAATTATCTTTACTCTTTAAGTCTTTATCCATATCTTTTCAAATTATAAGCCTTAATTATAATGATAAGGGAATTTAATATAAAAAAAGATTAAATATTTTCCTAATATTTTTCTTAAAATGCTCTAATTTATTATTTTTACTGAATTTAATTTAAGAGATTAGTTATTTTAGATTTTAAATAATTGTATTAATCAGAAAATTATTAATTTACTTGATTATTATTTATGTTCGTGATCATGCTTTTTTAATTCATTTATAAGTATTTTAAATCTTGATTTAATTGTTATATATTTTATTGTAATTATATCCAATTAATTTAAATTTCTTATCCTTATTCTACATTTGTAAATTTAATTTCTTCTTTTTACTTGTTAATTATATCTAAAATTTTTACCAATTCTTTAAATTTTTAAAAGCATTTTCTCTCTATATTTACAATCTGTTATTCATATTTTACTTTTTATTATTTAAATGTAGTTTGATGTTATATGTTTAAAATTTCATTTTGATATATTTCATTGTTTTTCGAATACTTATTATAACAATTTTAAATTGTTTCTACTAAACTTTTCAAATCCTCTTATTTTTATTTATATGATTTTTTTATTTCGTCATATTTATAATCTTTTATGTCAAAACTTATAAATTCAATTTATTTTTAATTAAAATTTTAAATTACAAGTTATAATTCATTCTAGAAATTTTGAAATTCTTTTTCATTAGATAATAATTTTTGTAAGTTAATTATTTATTTCAATTATTATTCATATTTTAAATGTAATTCTTTTAAAACAAGATTACTTTCTTAATTTATTTGATCCATAAATTATTGATTATTTTTATTATTTTTAATTTTATTTTATATTTCATCAAACTTTTAGAGAACCCTTAACTTAAAATCTTGTAATTCATTTTCTCTAGTATTTAAAAGTTAGTTAATCTATTCATTTTAAAACTAGCCGCATTAATATTTCATATAATTTAATTGATCTTTAAGTTCCGAAATTGATTCTTGTAATTTATTTGATTAACTTTATAAATCCAAAAGAAAATCAATTTATTTTTGTGAAATTATTTTAAATTGAGTTTTTTTTTATTGATATTCTAATATTTAATTTGTTAAACTTTTAATAGTATCAACTTCTTATTAGTAAAGAGTTTTTATTTAAATATATTTATGTATCGATATTTCTGTTTAGTTAAATTAGTTTAATTATTGTTACATTTATTGAATATTTTTTTATTTCTCTTATAATTAATGTTTGATACTTTCTTGATGTTCATCTTAGTCTTTTAAGTTATTTTAAATTTTGTAATCTATTTCATAAATCTAATCATCCATTTAGAATATATAATTTTGCACTTCTTTCTTTAATTCTTGTTTTAAAGCTATTAGGAAATCATTTAATTCATTATTTATTTCTTAAAAGGATTCTAATTTATGTTAAATATCTTATTATTATTTTTAAATATAATTGATTAAATCTTTAGAAATACAATTATATCCTCCATCATAAAATTATTTAAGTTAATTTAATAATGAATCAATAATGTAATTATTCTATTTTAATTATTTAAATTGATCATTAACTTTACTATTGTATTCAGAATAATTTTCACACTTTATCTTAATATTTTCAATAGATTGCGATTATTAATTGAATTCATCTAATAACTTTTAATATTTCTGTTATAAGTTATTCATTGCTTATTANATTTTTTGAGAAAGTTCATCCAATTTCTATTGATTACTCAATATGATTTGTCTTTCTTTTTCTTCAAATTCTTTTTATAATTTTTTTTACAGTTCTACTTCAATTTTATGAATTCTTTATTGTTCACAGCTTTTCTCTATTTATAATATAATATTTTCCAATTTTAATCTTTACTAACTATCAACACAAATCATTTATTTTATGATCTCTCTAAAATTATTTTAAACTTAATAAAGCTAATCAATTTTTTGATTAATCTCATTTTGCTTGATGTTTTTGATTTAATTCATAAGGATGAAATAACTCATACCTAGAATAAAAATATTTGTACCTTCAAAGAATGTTTTTCTGGTTATCATTTCATACCATAAAGTTCCCAAAGCCCAAACATCAATAGTTCTGGAATAGTTTTTATCTTATAAAATTTCAGGAGCCATATAGTATGGGGTTCCTATGTTTAGAGTCTAACTTCCAAGATCTTATTGACTTTTAGAAATACCAAAATCAATTAATTTAATAATTAATTTTTATTCCTAATCATGGCAACATACAAAATTTTCTGGTTTTAAATCTCTATGAAAATAACCAAAATTATGAAATTCCTAAACTGCTTAGATCATCTAAAATAGTTTTATTATATACTTGAAGAAATAATTCATTTTTTTCTTGGATATCAAAATTATTGAATTTATTTGTTTTCATAAATTCATAAAAATCCATTTCTGCCAATTCCATTACAATATAAATTAAGTTATTCAATTTTTCAATTGCATCTACTCTTATAATGTATTTAGGTTTATTTTTCTAAATAATTTATAATATAGTTTCCTCAATAGGATTTAATTCTTTAACTACTTTTACAGCCACCCTTTGATTTGTGTTTTTTATAAAACCTTAATACACACTACCTTAAGACCCAGATCCTTTTCTGAGTTGAACTATTATTGTCATTTTATTTTGTTCAAGATATATCTAATTTATCTAATTCTATTATTGTAACTATTAATTCATTATTAATAATAATTTAATAATTATTTTAATATTTATGTGATGATGTATAAAATTCTTAAACAATCCTAATTTGCGCTTAATTTAGATATTTCCAATAGTTATTTTTCAATATCTCCTTAATCGGTATTCTTCAAAGAATAAAAAGCTTAATTTAAAAATCTACAAAAATTAAATGATTTGAATAGATTTTATAATCAATTTTTTAAAGTTAATCAAAAGAATTAAAATTTTTGTTTCTTTAAATATTTAGTAGTTATTAATTCTAAAAAACATAATTTTACTATATAGTTATTACTTTAGTAATATTATATTCACTATTTAGGAATTTATAGAATTAAATTAATAAATGATGCTAAAAAAAATTCCAACATATAATTGATGTTAATTCAAAAAAACGAGAAATTTTTCTAATTATTTTCATAAATTACTCATGATTCTAAGATTTCTTTAATTATCCAATTCAAAAGATAAGTTTATTTTTGTATTTTTAAATGTGTTCATTAGTTAATATTATAATTCTATTTTCCATTTTATTAAACAAATTAATATATTTAAACAAAATTTGTAATTGATTAAATTTTTTCTATATTTTATGTTTTATTCGTCTTCAAATTTTTTTTTTTAAAAACAGTTTCAATAATAAGATTAATAATTTAATATTATGATTTTCTCTTAAATTTAATTATATGACTAACAAATAAAAATTAGTTTAGTTCTTGTAAGTCTTTTAATTTTTTTTTTATAATCTTAAAAAAATGTCATGAAGAGTTTTAAATATTTATTTTTTGATTTTAATATATAATATTATTTTAAATGCATATTGATTGATTGATTAATTAATTTCTTTTAAGGAATAAGTTATGAATATAAATCACTATTATCAACCCAGAAATTTTTATAATCTGTTTCATTTACCTTCTCTAATTTACTAATTGCTTTCTTCTTGGTTACTTTAGTGAACTGGCCGACATTATAAAAGTTAAATATATTCTTCATACTATAAATGAAGGTGTTTCACGCATTCATTTTATCAGTTTTAGACAACTTAAAAGTTGTTTCAGAGAGATTCTTTGTAGTTTTTTCTTGTTTAATATGTGTCATCAAAACTTCTTTATAAGCCTAGTAAGTTAAACTCTAAGACCCTAAATGAACCTGACCTCGACATAAGGTTTGTTGGTATTAAAGCCTCCAGGCCATCCCTAGTCCTTTCCCCAATTATAATTACTAAAAAGTATCTTTTATTTCACTCTGGTTGTAGTGTCAAATATGAAAAATGTGATAATTATGAGTTCTCTGTCATTTTGGTATTGATAGATAGTCCAAAGGGGTCACCTGTGATTCTTTTGACCTGTTAAATCTTCCCCTCCACATTTTTTTCCAAAATGCCCACACAAATAAATTTTAATTTTATTTCTTAACTTAATTTTTAAGTCTTCTTTTAGCATAAGTGCTTATATCACTTAACCTGTATTATCTGAATAGAATACTATAGGTAATATACTTTCACTATATGATTAATTTTCATTACAATTATATTTAATCAAGATAAAAACGGGAAAATTTTAATCTAGTTTTCAATTGACGTAGTATAGAATACAAAATTGATTGATGAATTAATTAATTTTTTATAAAAAAACATTATGTGGAAAAGGAGAAGTGAAAAATGAAAATAGATTTAAAGCACACACCATTTATGCTCATCGGCTTGCTAGAAGGAATATTGAAAAAGAAAGAGGAAGCCATACATTCGATTGTTAAAATATAAGAAATAAACAATTAATAATTTTTTAAAATATCCTATTATGATAAAGATTATGTTAGATATTATTTTAGTAACCAAATAAATTTTGATATATTATTCTATGCCATATTTTTTTACATATTTGATGATTAATTAAATTAATTTAAAAAAAAAATTATTAAGTTTTTTTATATCAAACATTTTTACTACTTTAATTTTATTCCATTAAAATAATTTATTTAAAACGCATTATCTTTGTCAATAAAATATCTAATGAGCAGTTAAATTTATATGATTTACATTAATTTTTTAGCCAATATAAATCGTAAATAAATTAAATCAAGAAAAAGAAAATGAAAAATTCATTTTAATTATCAATATATATGTTAAAAGTTCAAATGAAGTATTTTTTATAAAATTATTTTTATTCTGCTCTAAATAATAAAGGAAAGTATAATTATATAATAATAATCTTTGAGATTTAAAAAGATAAATTTTTGAATTTTTATTTTTAAAGATTCACATGAAGATATAGATAGAGAATTATTAAAATTCAGACTCTAAATGTGTTAAATATGTCTTTAATTTTTTGTTCTAATTTTAAATAATGCCCTATATATTAAATTTTAAGCCTTAAGAGTATAAGTTAATTGCTATTATTACATAGTATTAATTAAATATGAATTATCTTGAAATTTTATCTATTTAAGAAATCTTTAAGAATAAAGAATTGAAATATCTAATATCCGTATTGAATTTCATATTATATGATTGGGATTATAAAAAGTTAATAGCCTAATATTTAATTATTAAATTAATTATAAATAACATAATAATTTCATACTTTAAATTAATCTAAATTATTCTCAATTCGGATAAGCCTCAATCGATTCCCGTAATTAAAATTATTATTTTTGAAGGGGATCATCAAAATATTTATTTGTATAACTAATTATCTTTTAATTTTTTTATTTAATTTTCTTCATCTAAAATTTCATTCATGTTTTCTGATATTTTTCTTTCAGGACTAAACTCTAATTAATAAATTACGTGTAAGGACTGCGTTGATATTGTTATAGACTCTATCAAATANATATATATATATTTTATTTTCTGTATATATATTTATACAATGGTCAAAAAATCAAAATTCTTTGAAGTTATTAACGTAATAGTCGAAATAATTAGTCAACTTAAATATGATGAGAATCACAATTTTATGATCGTTTTTTAGAGAAATAGTGATTGGTATTGCCATAGGTCTCTATTAGAAAATGTATGAATATTTAAATCAGAAAAAAGAAGGGAGCTTGTATTTAGTATGATGAGAAGCTTTTAAAGATTATTTTTGGTATTAAAAAGAAAATGATGGTACTAAATTGTCTTCAAACAAGTAAGAGGCAGATGAAAAATTAAAGTTATTTTAATTAATGATGAGATTTAAACAAGTTTCAAAAAAATGATTTGAATTTTTGTTATGAAATGTTTCGCAAAAAAAAAGAATAAAAAAATAAGCTTTAATTTCGTTTAAATAAAGATTTAATTAATGAAATTTAATTAATACTTTAAATGAAAAAAGTTTTATGCTTTTTGCTTGTGATAGGAATATCATTCAGTTTAACATCATCAATTACTGAATGTCAATGTGCTCAATTACTTTCAAAATCGGATTGTAAAGGAACTGTCTCTCCTCCAGTTGTAGCATCATTTACAACTTACTGCTAAAGTTTTACAAAAGCAGATTGTGTAAAAACAAATGGGTGTTTATGGGATACAGATAAATGTACTCATTTTACAGGATGCATACCATTTAACAAGACCACTGATGATGAATGCAAAGCAATATCTGATAAATGTATAACAGATGGAACACACTGTGTAGAGAAAGCTAAATGCGATTCATATTTAAAATAGATTTCATGCATAGTAGGTTAGAATAATAAAGATTGTTTTTGGAATAGCACAGATGGTAAATGTATTGATGCCACTTTGTGTGAACCCTATCCTATAACTCTAACTACAGATGCTGTTTGTAGAGAAAAAAATAAAAAGTATACAGTTTCAAAGAGTGGTAGTGGATGTTAAGACAGTGCTACAAGTTGAATAGAACATGCGAATAAGCTCCAGCAAGTTATAAAACTGATGAACAATGTAATAAATAATATGATGAATTATGTACAAATGGAAATGGATGTAGAAATATAACTAATTGTGCTGATGCAAAAGTTCCAGAAGGATGTAAGGTCAATAATCTTGGTTAAGCATGTTTATGGTTAGGAACTGAATGTAAAGATTACAAATGTGATTCTGCTCCAATTACATATAAGACTAATACAGAATGTGAAAATTTCAAAAAAGGAGCAGGATGTGTAACAAAGAAAGATGGAGGATGTAAAGATAATGGAGCATGCAGTACTCTTGATGAAGTAGCATGTTATTTTGATAAAAACGGTGGATAATGTGTTTTCAATGTAACCTGTAAGGAAAAAACTTGTCCAAATGCTCCTACTACCTTGGAAAGTCATGATGCATGTACTTAATATAAGGATACTTGTACAGTAAATGCAAATAATAAAGGATGTAGAGATAGATAATGTGACAATGCACCTCTAAGTATCAATTCGATGAGCGATTGTGATAAATATAAATCCAAATGTATTCCAAAAAAGGAGGTGGTTGTTAAACTCATACGACTTGTGATAAAATTGATATGAAAGAATCATGTGTTAAGGATTTTAATGGCAAGGATTGTACTTGGGATGATACCTTGGAATTATGTCTTGATAAAACTTGTGCAAATGCTCCTACTGACAAGAGAACTTCGCATTAATTATGCTAATCTTATATGTCATCATGTACAGTTAATGTTTAAAATAATGCTTGTATTGATATGATTTTGTGAAAATATTGTGGAGGGTGATGATTGCAAAATTGATAAGAATGGTGAAAAATGTAAATATAAAGGAACTTGCTACCTTTAAGAATGTCGTTTAGCATCTGAAACTATCACAACATATACTGCATGCTAATCATTTATGGATTCATGCACCTTGGATAATTCTGGTAAGGGTTTTATGCCAATACCTCCTACTTGTAGGGCAATAATAACATAAGATGGTTGTGTTTAAACTAAATCAGGTTCAGAATGTGCATGGGCATCTAATAGATGTTAAGATAAAACATGTAGTACAGCTCCAACAACTACAACAGATAATGACTTATGCAATACTTATAAATCTAATTGTTTAGTAAATAATACTGCTAATGGATGTTTCGATCCTACTACTTATGCTTGTACATCCCATTAGAATGAAAATAATTGTTATTCAGCTGTTGGATTAAAATGTGTTTATAGTCCATATAAGAAATGTTAAGCTAGAAGTTGTGATTCTGCATCTGATAATACAATTACTTTACCTAGTTCCTAAGGATATTTAACAACATTTTTCAATTCAGATTGTGATA